CGACCTGACAGAAGCCTAGGAGTGAGTGCGCAAGGTGGTTATAAAAGGCTCTATACCCCCCAAGAACATGGTATGCAAACTTTGCGCTATCTGGTTTTATCTTGCCTTTGAAGGATTCTAACTTGAGCTTCGGAGCCTTTACACTGGGTTTTCCCCGGAGCTTCCTCATCTTCTCCGTTTCAGGTCCCCTGCTACTCAGTTCAGAGGCAAGGTCGTTGACAGCTAAGACCGGCCAGATTGTACACCATCAGATCCAATGTAGATAGATGCATGGATCGAATATGGTTTATGCTATATTATAATTATATATACTGGATATGGATCAGACGTATGAATCCATTCTGGTTTAGAATCTGAATTTGATAAGTGGTGAGACCTAGAACTTTTTGGATGCGGACAAGAATTTACTAGTCACAAATTATTCCTACATCTCTACCCATGAGATATTATAGCTGCACATTGGGAATATCTCCCTTATATTCATGGGGAGATGTTCCCGATACACGATGGTGATACTTTGTGAATAGGGATGTAGAAACAGTTTATGGGTAGCAGATACGAGTGCAGAATTCTCTTGGCTCCTAGGAGCACACATAATATCTTATTAATGAGAGATTTCTTGTAAAGTTGAAACTTGTGCTAAACTTGGTAGTATATCCACATGAATGATGCAACACATGGTCCATGGGCAAGCGGCTGGGATCTTCTTCTACGCAACTCACTCAACCAGCAGAAACGGTGTAAACGAAGAGATTGGCACAAAAGGAATCGGCAGAAATGTTTTAGAAAGTTTGTCCAGATTGTTAGCATCCAACGTGCCTTGGAACTTGTGTATTTCTTGAGGCAGCAGCTCTCTCGAGTAATCAGTAATGTTTTGGAACGGTCTCGAGGCTCTAGGAACGGGACCGAAAATTGACGGTCCAGTTAGGACCGGCATAACGGGGCCCTGATCTTTGGGCTATGTAATTGTAGACCTAGACCTTTCCAGTGAGACTGTGACTCTGTGAGAGTGACAAACAATCTATATATGCCCAACACCTCAGCATTTCGATGCTATTACTTATTACTCTTGGGTTAGTATCAGAATCCAACAACCAACATGTTTATGGCAGGTGGTGGGGTGGGGGAGATTGTCAAATCCGTAATCTCGATTCTAATCTAATGCTGGAAAGTGACATCTCAAGAGCGACACTCCCTTGGATCAAACGGGGTGTTGATACACATTATCTTTATCCTGTAGTCTTAAAGCGAGCTCGTCTTTTTGAGTTTTTGTGCCCTGAAAGTGCTGGGATCACGAAAAAGAAAGAGAATATTAGTCCGACGGTGCTATTTATTCGGTACTTTTTTGATCTTGCGTTCAGCAGCAGCCGTCCCTCCTTTCTTTTTGGCTTCAATAGAGCTACTACTTGCGTTCTCTGGCTTTCTTTCTTTCTTTCATTCTGTCATCTACAACTTCTTCAATCCCCAGAGATCGGGCAAGAGTGAGCGGACGAGCAAGCAATCTCCTTCTATCAGAAATCCCCCTAAATTCTATCACTCGACACTCAAAGCCAGGTGACTCTCTCTCTCTCTCTCTCTCTCTCAAGCGTAGTTCGAGATTTTGATTACAAATGTTGGTTAAGGGACGTGATTGTGTAGTTCTGGAACTGAAAAGCAATTCCTCTTTTTATTGGTCTCAACGTTTAAAATGGTACAAACAAGTATCTGAATTGACGAGTGGTGGCTGAATTTCGCCTTCTGCTAAGGGGTATGTGTGTTGTTGTATGCATGAATTTGTAGGGACACATGATGGCGCTTATTTCCCAGCCAAGTCCATCCAGCTACATTCGTTCTGAACATAATGTCGCCGGCAACATGGAAGATAGGATTGTCTCGAGGGGTAAAGCATATAAAATGAAGGAAGGCTGGACTGGTTCTTCTTCCTTGTTATGGAGTGCCGAGAAAGTGCCACGAATTTCGCATTTGGATGGTTTGAGGGGCAAACGTAGATATCGGACAATTGTTGCTGCAAGCCCCCCTACAGATGATGCTGTAATTGTTACAGAACCGTTGACTAAAAAGGACCTTGTAGGATACCTTGCCTCTGGTTGTAAGGCGAAGGAGAATTGGAGGTACATGCCAGTAGACTATAATGATCTCTCTTGGCAATCTATTTTACTTCAAGCATGTTGCATTTCCGAATCCAAATAGTTGCAGAAGGATCCGATAAGAGTTGGCGATTAAATTTTATAAATATATCATTAGTTGATTTATCACTCAGTTAAAACAAAAGAAAAACATATTCGGCTTAGTATTTATTGGGTATCTAAGGTCAATCAATCCTGTTATTTTCTCTTCGTTAGGGTTTGAATAGCTCTCAGATGCTTCTTCTAGTCGACTAGTTTGTAATTTTGCATTGAATATTTTGAACTGTCATTATCAGTATCACCTTTCAAACCACATCTTGTTTGCCAAGAAAATAGAAAACAGAAACCACATTCTCTTTAGATCATTCTTTCTTTGGTTTTGGATCACTGTATCACAACACTGATTACATCTCACATGATCTATACTAATGTGTGAGGTACTGCACAAGGGGAGGGGCAGTTTTTTTGTGTTCAATTTCCAAAGCTTTCAATCTGTATCTCCTTCCATATGACTACAATAGAATCAAAAGGTTTTGTAGGTCACCATAGRCATAGGCAGATCTATGTATATGAGTTTGGGCAATTGCCCCCATTGATATTTAAAAAAAATTTATATTATATGAAAAAGTTTAATTTTTTCACAATTGCCCCCACTCAAATAAAATAACAGGGGGTCAATTTATTTATTTATTTTTCGTAATGAGTGAGGGGTCAAATAATGACACCCATGTCCCAAGGCCTACTTAAAATCTAAAACTGAAATGGTGAGAAATGAAGTAACTCTTATACCCTCCTCATTTTGACCATCTATTCTCTTTTCAAGTTTAGGGTTGGAGGCTTGGAGTAGGGGTGCCAATGGCCTGGATATTAGTCCAACCTGACCTGGTCTAATATGAGTCCATTACAGATGGGCTAGGTCCAATCCAATCCAATAAATACTTTGGACCAATATGTCTAGACCAGTCCAATTCAATATGTCTTATTGGATTGTCCAACTTGTTCAAATTGGTTTTAATTTGGATTGGATCCAATCCAAACCCAATCCGTTGGCCCCTCTACTCTTATCTTCTGTCAATGGATTGGATATTGGTTTAACCCAACCTAGTACAATATAAATCCATTATAAATGAACTAGGTCCAATCCATCTCTATCCAATAAATACTTTGGACCGTTCAGTCTGGACTAGTCCAATTCGATATGTCTTATTGAACCGTCCAACCCATTCAAATTGATTTTGATTCGGACGTGTCTAACCCAAACTCAGTCCACTAACACCCCTAGCTTGGAGCAAGTTGCTGGATTGTGGAGGAGGAAATTGGGGGGGGGGGGTCGAACTAGGTATAGTACTTCCCTTCTATCTCTGTTCACTCTAACATTCTTGAAGGACGAAACACACCTGAGGGATCTCCCTCTTTGCATTTTGCAAATTACAGCCCCTAGCTTTCTATGCAAAATTGTCCTAACTGTTGTTGTGTTAGGAACAATGTTTTCTTTTTAGAAAAATCTAGGACAGAAAAGACACAGTTTTAGGGGTGTTGAGTAAATTAGTTGACCCCACCCTAAAAGGCCTCTTGTATATTAAACAGAACATATTAGAATATTTACAAAAGTGCCCTTATGGGGTTGAAAGAAAATAAGGGAAAAAAATAAAACAATAAAGTTGATATATATAATGTACAACAAGGGCTATCCTAATATGACGTATCAAGTCTCTTAACGCTCCCCCTCAAATTGATGTGTGGGTATAAGTATCAGTTTGCCTACGAGGAAGAGATGTTGGGGACGAGACATAGCCTTTGTGAAGACTGAAGATGTCAACAATCTGCATATTGGAGGCTACATGAGGAAGMGTAATATACCCAACAAGAAACATGTCTCTAATAAAGTGACAATCTACTTCAATATGCTTAGTACTATTATGAAACATWGGATTTTATGCAATCTAGATGGTACTAGTATTATTCGCATAAAGGGGAATGGGTGTAGGAATGGGAGCACCAAGATCCATAAATAAAGATTGTAGCCAGACTAGTTCACTACACATAGAAGACATTGCCCCATACTTTGCTTTAGTAGAAGACTTGGAAACAATCTGTTGCTTCTTGCATTTCCAAGAGAGGAGAGAATCACCTAGAAACACACCACCTAACCTAGTCAGCATTTGCATACGCTTTCAACTGTATGGGTGAAGAGGAGGAGAAGAGACCCCGAGTAATTGTGCCACGAACATAACGAATGAACTGATGAACCGCAGTCAAGTGAGGTTGACAAGGAGCAGAGAGACAAACTGACTTACAACTTGAACATCATGAGAAATATTAGGTTAGGTCATAGTGAATAAAATAAGACCCCACAAGTTGTACTCTAGACGTGATAGAGGAGCCTATTCATCTATTCATAGAGTGTACTCTAGACGTGATAGACAACCAGAATTGTCGCCAGTAGTTGTGACTGGACCCACAACTTCGCAAGTAAGCCTGAAGATCTCTGTTTGTGTATTCGCCTCCTGAATCTGAGCAGAGAATACTSACATTTGACTTGAAACAAACTCGAACCATGGTGAGAAACAACTTGAATGTAGGAAACACTTCTGATTTCTGCCGTAGAAAGTAGATCYGCATGTATTTGGTGCAATCATCAATAAACAATTTAAAATACTTGTATCCCAAACGAGAAGGAATAGAAGCCGTCCAAACATCATTGTGTATAATATCAAAGGGTGAAGTGGCATGCTCAGATGTGTGGTAAAATGGTAGAACATGGCTTTACTTAAGCAACAAGAAGTACAAGGCACATCAAAATTATGAATGGAAGGAATTTTATGCTTAATCAAACTGGAATCAAACAAAAACTTTAGCTTTTCAGTATATGGATGACYCARTTGTTTATGCCATATGTCCCAAGCATTATTTCTTTGACTTAAAAAAGAACTAGATGTAGATGAACTAAGATATGTTAAGGATGCTGCTGGTTGAGACTTTTGAACTCCAATGCAAACAGGCGGCCCAACCTACACCCCTTCCCTTTCACCTTCCCAGTGTATTGGTCCTGGATCAAACAATGATCATGAGAAAAAGTAAGAACTTTACCCTCATCAACAAGTTGACTAAAATGGACTAGATTAGTAGTAAGGTTAGGAACTAAAATGGTCTTTGGAAGAGGGAAGGACATAGAGGGTGAAAGTTTAAGGAACAAATTATTACTACCAATGATGTTTAATTTTTCACCATTGGTAGTAACAATGTGTTTATGGTGTGTCTCAGTAAGTTGGTTTGGCTGATTAGGATAGATTCCTGTCATATGACTAGTAGCTCCATAATCAATAATCCAAACATGTGAAAGGGAGGAGCAATAACCAGAGAACTTACCATGTGAAGGCAATAGCAAAAAAGACAGAAGAAATAGTAGATAATATCAATTGTCGAATTGTCTTCATCTATGGATACAAAGGAATCACCTCTAATAGAAGAATTACCCTTGGCCTAAGTGACATCAGAAGACTGGCCCTTTGTGACCTGATATGCATAGGGCTGACCTTTCCTTTGAGCATTCTTAGGTGGTTGAATTGGACAGTCTGGGATAATGTGACCATGTTGTTTGCAATATGCACAAATGTTCTTCTTCTTACAATGAGATGCAACATGGTGGAATCCTTTACATTTATGGCATTGAGTCTTGGAGAAATCTTTTGTAGTTTGTTTCTTATTTCCGTGTGCTACAAGGGTAGTGTCAGTTCCTAAATCTACTACTTTTCTATCCAGTATACTAGCCGTCAAGGGTCTAGTTTCTTCCCTCAGAAGTTCCCCCATTATTGAATCTAAATTTGGAAGAGTTCCCCCTAGTCCCCTACTCAAAATATTAGAACCTAACTATTTCATACTGAGGTCTAAGCCTCATGAGAAATTGATTCATCTTTCATTTTTCAAAATGTTTCTAAAGATGTTGAACACACTTAGGAGGATTCGAAGGGTTAATATGTACTAATTCATACTCTGCCCATAAGTCTAAATATCCGGCATAATACTCTTGTATCTTTTTGTCTCCTTGACAATAAGAAAATATTTCAGATTCGATCTGAAATTGTCTAGACATATTTGACTGATGGTAAACTTTCTTTAGATAGGCATACATTTCATAGGCTGTTCGCATTCTTTGCATAGGTAGAGAAATATGGGTCTCTATAGAACCCAGTATCCAAGACACCAGCTTTCATTATCGAGCTTCAATTGCTGGTAAGCTTTGGCTTCATATTTATCTGGTTTAGTAACTGTCATTCAGATAACTTTCCAAGCCTTTTCCCTCAACAAAGAAATCGAAGTGGAATTTCCACATGCTGTAATTTGTCCCATCAAATTTCACAGGGATACATCAGCCTTTTCAGCCATCCTAATGAAATACCACAGTCCGGAAGAGTAAAAACTATAAATTCAAAGCCAAAATAAGAACAAAACAGGGCTACCACCCAACCAAATCAGATTCAATCTGAGTAACAGTGATACAAATTGTCCAATAACACCCAAGAGATCAAAACTCAATTAGACAACGACCCAGACAAAGGTATTAACTGGTGACAGTCCAAGAAATACAGGTTTACTGGACTGTCAACAAAGGAAGAGAGCAGAACACCATTCAAATCTAATCCAATCCACAGACCAACTGTAGAAATACTTAAAACTGACCTGGGTGACACAGAATCTGGAGTTTCAAGTTGATTGGTGCAGCTGATAGAGAGAAAGAAAGGAATCTTTGATTCTGACTGCAATTTTCCAGAAAAATCCAGGAAACCTCGTGCTGAACAGAACAGCAACCAGATGAATAATAGTTGATTTAGAAGCCCTAAATCTTCTTTCAATCCTCTAATAGCATATTTAATCAAAGGCAGGTTTGTAGGACTTGCTTTGATACCATGTCAAATCCTAGTATGAGCAAGAAGAAACAGTTTTAGGGGTGTCGAGTAAATCAGTTGACCCACCCCAAAAGGCCTCTTGTATATTAAAGAGAACATATTAGAATATTTACAAAAGTGCCCTTATGGGGCTGAAAGAAAATAAAGGAAAAATAAAACAATAAAGCTGTGTGTTGCATAGGGCAATACTTTGGCTGAAGACTTTGGAAAATTTTCATCAATTCTCATATCGACTTTTGGAGAAACTGGTCAGCAGTAGTGAGGTGTTTTTCCTTTAAGAACAAGAAGTTACAAGGTGGTCTCCTCTGTTGAAGGCTGACTGAAGCTGAACTTTGATGGAAGTAGCTTGGGTAACCCAGGGTTATCTGGAGTCGGGGCTGTTTTGAGGAATGAGATTGGAGAGATTGTTCTGCTTTACTTGGGTCCTTTAGGATTTGGAGATTCTATTAGGGCAGAGCTATTAGCTTCTGTACAAGGGGTGCAATTTGCATTACCAATTGGGGGTGGAGCATTTGATAATTGAAGGGGATTCCAAGGTGGTGGTGGGATGGTTGAAAAAATCCTGATGATGCTATATCGTGCTACAAGAATGAAATGAAGAAATTTAATTGGTTGACAAGGAATATGTTGGTTTCTATACAGTGGGTGGGGAGATCAGCAAATGCTATGCTGGTGTGTTAACCAAGCAAGGGGTAAATAGGGAAGAATTGTTTTGGGCTCAGCTGTGATTTCTGTAATTTATTCCTAATTTACTTGTAAGCTTCTAGGAGGGGCTGCAGCTCACACCTCTCCATGGGATGTTGTACAAAATTACAATTCTAAATCAGCTTTGAATTAATAAAATGTTACTGTACAACAAGGGCTATCCTAATATGATGTATCAAGTCTCTTCACAGTGAGATGTATCTATTTTTCTTAAAATGTATGAGTGAAAATATCTTAATCTCAATTTTTTGTTTTAATTACTAAAATGTTATTGACTAAAGTTGATGTTATGATAATGCCTGCCCCCACTGTTCAAAAGTCTTGGATCTGCAACTGACCATAGAAGAGCATAAAACCATGTTTATAATCAAAGGATTCATGGCTCCCAATAGAGGTCTACCAGAGCAACTTTTCCAATAAGCCTCCCTAGAAGAACTATTGCAAGGTACTGAATTTGATTTACCAATGGAAGGAAAGGGATCACTGTAGTTCTGAGGTCTATTCTCTAATACTAGACAATGGATTTGAGTTTGATTGCAATGTTGGAGTTCTTAGCCTTTAAGTGACAAGGTGGTGCCCTGCCACCACCAAGTGTCACCTCACCGCCTTGATAACTATGATGAGACATTTATGTTTTGCTTCTGTTAAATCTTTAACTTGGATGGTTTGTTTTGGCAGGATAGGTACAGAACATGAAAAGTTTGGTTTTGAGATTGGAACTTTACATCCTATAAAATATGAACAAATAAAGGACTTGCTCAATGGTCTTGCTGAGAGATTTGACTGGGATAAAATAATGGAAGGAGACAACATTATTGGACTTAACCAGGTGAAAGCACTTCCTCTTCTATTGTCAGTATTCAATGTCTTT